TTACTCTGTGTCTTACCCAGCAGTGAGACGGTATAGGACACACTCTACACTGATGGGGCCTCCTGGAGAAACTCTATTCTCAAATGTGATTACATCCACAGACACAGGGGCTAGGATTCCAACACATACTTTGTTGTTAAGTGACATTGACTCATAGCGACCCTGTATAGGGCTTCCAAGGAGCGCCTGGTGAGTTTGAGCCACCAACTTTGAGGTCCAGTGTTTTATCCCACAGCGCCACACCAGGACTCCTATTTTAGGTGATACAATTCAATCCGTAACAACATACGACAGAATAATGCTCAGCCATGAAAAGGAATGAAGTACTGGCAAGTACTATAATATGGATGAACCTTGAAAATATGTTACGTAAAGGAAAACAGACACCAAAGGTCATATATGTATGATTCCATTTATAGGAACTATACAGAAAGAAAGCAGATTGGTGGAGAGGACTACTGAGTGGTGGTGGTGGTTATGTGCTGTGGAGCTGGTTCCAACTCATAGCGACTCGGTACAGGGTTTCCGAGGCTGTAAATCTTTACGGGAGCAGAAAGCCTCATCTTTCTCCTGCAGAACAGCTGGTAGTTTCAAACTACTAGCCTTGCAGTTTGCAGCCCAATTCGTAACAACTACAGAGTTGCTATGAGTCAGAACTGACTCAACAACTCATAGCAACAACTGAATTGCACACTTGAATATGATTGATTTTATATTGTGTGATTTTCACCTTAAGAAAAATTAAGGGAAAAAAGTATGGCCTACTAAAGCAAAAATTTTAACTCTTGTCATTTTCCTCTCAGGAGTCCTGGTGTGGTGCTGAAGGTTAATGTGCCAGACTGCAAAGCCATTTGAACTGCAAGGTCGGTGGTTCAAGCTCATCAGCTGCTGCTCCTTGGAAACCCTATACAGGGTCGCTATGGGTTGGAATCGGCTCATAACAACAACATCCTAGTATATCGTTTTCATCAGTATGTCATTTAGAACTATGATTTCATTGTTTATCCTAACAATCTACTTCATTCAGCTCCCAGATTTTGTCTGACCTTTTTCACTTCTTCCTTAGAAAATTAAGCCAAACAGCAATTGTTTCATAAAGATAGGTGGGAACTTTAAGTTGCATCATGTAAATTCATATTCGTCAGTTGATTAGCTGAGTGCTGTACCTACTCCACTCTGGTTTGCAACCTTAAGCCCTTTCTGGAACCTTATAGGTATACAAATGTATAATCAGTACTATATTAAGTACTGTAAACTACATTTTTTTTTTTTTAGAGGAAGAGGCTTTAGTGCCGGCAAAGCATCGGTGGACTAACGTCTCAAATGCCGAGCTTCCCGGTACAGCTTTCGTACTAGCTTTATATAGGACTACATAGGGCTGAGTGGTGAGACCACCATGTTAGTTTCTCATTGACAGTTCCTAGATCAGCTTCTTTTTACAAAAGCAGAAGAAGCTGTTAGTTTCCTTTGTGTGTGACCTAGGCCTCAAGGTCTTATGGGCAGGGGTCTCCTCCCTCATTCCCCCCTTTGAGATTCCATAACATAATTATTTGGAGTCTCACCATCTGCCTGCTCTTGCAGGAGTTGATAATGTTTCATATACAGCGTCTGGGATGCTGTCTTCTGACTGATGATTGTCTCAGTGGTGGAGCGTATGGCTCTGCCTACTAATGGAAGGCGGTATGGAATACTTATACAAAACCCAAACAAGACTAGGACTCATCCTATGAGGGTTTTCAATCCCCTAAAGGCAGAGAACCATCTTCCCCACAGGCTTTGAGGGCTCCACCCATTCCAGGTTTGCACAGGGACATGAGCAATTTTTCTGATTTTTCCAGTTCTCTCACTGATCACTGTTCCTGCATCTTCTAATTCTAGGCAGTAATTAGTTAGGCTAAACTTCCCACACACTCCACCTTCTCGCTAGGGCCAGTTTATTTTGATAAATTGCATTTCTGATTTTTGGTTTCCTCACTGCTTACTGGCTTTGAGGTTTTATTACAGACCTTCTGTCCTAAGGAGTTAGACTGACCCACTGGAATGGTCAAGTTGACTCCCCATTGTGCCATGCAGTGCCAGTCAATGATACTGGTTCACAGTATCCAAGGGACCAATTCAGTGAAAGTTTGAGCAGGAGTTGTCTTGGGAGTTGGGACATTCCTTTTTTACCCCCAAACATCTGAGTCTTTCTTGGGTTACCCAGAGCCACTGATCCCTTGTTAATATATCTCCATACCAAAGCATGAGGTTACATTTAGGGCTTTGGCAATGTTCTCTGTCAGCCCTAGAAAGAGGTTTTCAACAGACCGTAGACCTTTAGAAAGGGGATGGGTGATTTCTTCATAGAATGAATGAAATACCTGGAAAACTTTCTCCCGATGACTGTGGACCTGCCCCTTAATGACAGTGCCAGGATTCAGTCCCTTCCCATCAACCCCTAGAAACACTCACACTCCTTTTGCCACTATGGGTTTGGGGGCTGAATGATGGTCAGTTCTACGGGGTTACACTGATAGGTTTGGCACTTAGACAAGGTTACTCCTTTTTTAAGGAGCACCTGAGTGTCCTGGGTGTCATTTGTTGGTTTTTGTCAGGTGACCCATTTGACATAGCTCCATAGGGCACATGAAATGGAACAGGACAGGCTTATTCCACAAAGGTACGTATTTTCTACCATGTGGCTTCTTTCCCAGTTTAGCAAGCTACATGTAAGGCCCCAGGAGTAACTAATGGCATGACAAGCATCGAATTTCAATGTTACCTGGCTGGGGTTTCCCTTTACCTAGGTTTGAGCAACAATCGGGCCAGCATTGGAACACCACAGCCCTAATTTTGAAGATGACGAGAGTAGGAGCTCAGCTGGGTCATTACACACGTGTCTTTTCTAGGGTGGCACATATGGAGAACTGAGTAGAGTTATAATACATTTCCCTGCTTGAGTGTCTTTGCAGTAGGAGTATCTATAAAATAACAAAGTTCTGGTGATGTGCGGCCTACCAGGGTGGTTTGGATGCGCATGTCACAACCACCATATCCTTTTTCCACTGTGAACAGGTGAGCCACTAGGCTTGCTAGGAAAAGAATTCTCAGGCTTCTGCTGTGTGTGAACCAGCCAGCTCCTGGTTTGTGGCTGGAGCAGGGCAGGTTGATCATCTTAGTGTTACCTTGTGGGGCTTCATAGGGTCTGTTTCCACTGTCCACTGTGGCGAGGTTCTTTTCAGTTTGCTGTGATGAATCCAGGCAGGGATCCCTTCTACCTTTGCTGTTGTTGGCGTGGTCAGAATGACGGTGAAGGGACCTCTCCACCTGGATTTGAGGGCAGTTACATTCCAGTCCTTAACTCAAACTTGGTCTCCGTGACTCAGATGTCTCCAGATGCAGGTTCCTCTCAGTGTTCAACCTCTCTGGAGCTGCCAAGAGGGGCCTCCTCACGTCTCACCAAGGCTCCCATACAGGGAGATGAATGCTTACCATCCCTGGTGCGCTCAGTGGGTTGCATCATCCAGGCCAATCGGGGTCCCCCTGTGGATCTCTGGAGGGTTGGTGGAAACACCAGGTGAACTGTACCCTGTTTCTCTCTTTGGGTGGTCTCATTTCATGGCCAATGCACCAGAAATGTTGCAGGAAGACGAGTCCCAAACAGGAGAAAGAAATCACCCAAACACCAGTGCTATTAGAGGAAGAGGCTTTATTGCCAGTAGAGCATCAGTGGTCTAATGTCCCAAATGCGGAGCTCTGTAAACTACATTTTTAATGTCAGATCTTATCCTTACGGACTTTATTATCTGTTTTTTAATTTGGGGTCAAGTGCATAAGGTACAAATACTCAGTTGTTAAGAACCTTGTTCTTTTTAACCTTTAACAGAACTTCTGTAGTGACTCACACAAGTTTCCCTTTGTTCTTCACCCCTTATAAGGTCTTATATATACCAGGGGGTATGTTCCTTGTCACAATGGATTCCTGCCTTTATCATATTTATATAGTCTTAAATATTTCACATTCATCTATCAAGGCATGTATACTTTAAACTACAGCTAACAGAGAGTATTTTACAAGCACATAGATCAGAGTCTGCTTGAGACAATTGCTCACCTGTCAATACTTTAGTTTCCTCATCTGAAAAATGAAGATAATTAAGGTGGTTATAAGGATTCTATGAAATTATTTATGCAAAGCATTTACAATACCAGGCACATTAGTAACTTGTCATGACAGTTGGACATTTTATAACATATCTAAAACATAAAGTTTTGTGTGTGTGTATGAAAGAACAGTGGAAGTAGGTCTACCTTATCCCTTAACTTGCTATAACTGTTCAAATTCAAAATGTGACATTAGTATAAGGTCTTGAATTAGGTTTGTTTAAGATGTACCTCCTGCTTTATAAAATAGTCTGTTGTAATTTTTTTAAAAATGGATTTGTCGTTGTTAAGTTCTGTCAGTTCCTACCTACAGCAACCCTACCCTACCTAGGGTTTCTGAGAAGCGGCTGGTGAGCTTGAACCACCAATCTTGCAGTTCAAACCACCAATCTTGCAGTTCAAACCAACTTTGCAATCCAGCACATCAACCCAGAGTGCCATACCAGGAGGCCAAAAAAGAAAAATGGGTAGGAACGACACATTACTGCTAGGAACTATGGGACATAGTTCTACCCTTTGCTTGTGTCCTTCCCAGCTGTAAGCATTAAAAAAATACTTTAGAAGCCGAGCAATGTTCATTTGTTGTTCATTTTGTTCACGTGATCTCACTTGTTCAACTTGTTGAACAAACTACAAGATGGCACAACACACTACAACAGTGCAAAAGAAAACATTTATTTTGCTCTAGTATTTAAAAAACACACACAAAAATAAATAAATTCATTGCTAACATTACCAACAGGTAAATACCACTTCCATAATTTAAAGTATGACCCCGAAAGCACACAGGCCATAAGAAATGATACCCAAAATTGTAAGGGATAGCAGCTGCCAAATGAAGTGTTTAATAGATACCTTCAGTTGTAGTGATCAGTAAAACGAAATGATTTGGCTTCTGACACAGTATAGAGGTGGCTCTGTAACTGTCTGGAACGTTTTGCTTCCAGTCGGAGCTGTCTACTTCTCTCTTTGACAGCTTGTTGCTCTGCTAGCTTTTCTATGTGTTTCCTTCTTAGCCATCTGAAGAGAGAGGCATGATCAGATCTGGTTACTACCAGCTTGCATACTCTTTGTACTGTAAAGTTACTACTATAAGCAATTAAAGAAAACTGATATTTCTTTACATTGAAATGATGCAATCACAACACAAATCATTGAAAAAAATAACTCAAAATTGTCAGGTCACACAAAACATAGCTACATTTGGAATTAAAGTAAACTTGGTGTGTGAAAATCAATTTCTCTTATGAGGAAACTGTCAACTACCTTCTTGGTAATAAAGTATTTTATATGTGTATTATATCCTACCCCTTTTTAAAAAAAGTTTTCCCAAGAAAATATGTAAATTATAAATTCCATATAACTTACTCTTTCCAACTAACTGTATTCTAAAATGGTACTTAACCAGGTTAAGAATACCAGCATGCAGAAATGCTGTCTTGCTTTTCTAGGTAGGGATATTAAGGACTTTTGATTTTTGGAGCATAAAATAGTTCTTCCTTAAAACAGAAAATTTAGCCTAAGTATAAAAGCATCAAAATAAATGATAAAAGAAAAGTGCCTACATTATAACAAATTCAAGTCTAGAAATTTTGCTGAGCTAAAATAATCGTACATATACACGTATATCTAGTATGACTAAGTACATGAGTTATCTGAAGTGTGTGTGTGTACAGAGTTAGAAACATTTTTTTCAGAAATAAATCTAAACAACTGAATAACTTAATACACCTAAACAACTAGATACAAACACAAACAATTGAATATTTGTATCTATGTACACAATGCACATTTACTGCCTCTGTATATTAAAGGGCTATGTTAAGTCAGGAAGTCCTGGTGTGGTGCTGTAGGATTAGCACTGGACTGAAAGGTTGGTTTGAACTGCAAGGTCGGTAGTTCAAACTCACCAGATGTTCCTCGGAAATCTTATAAAGGGTCGCTACGGGTTGAACTGACTAGATAGCACTTAACATCAACAATGTGATGGCTGGAGCTGTGGTTGCCTTGGCAGGACCAGACCAAATGATTCTGTGACCTTTATATGACCTGAGGGCTCTATGTTCCCTACCCTGCTATACCGGGTTTCTATGACTCAGAACTGACTTGACACTAAGAACAATGTTAAGTCAAAGAAAGGAAAAGTAAGAAATGCACTTTAATATTCAACCCTCCCACCCTGCCATTCTCTCCCAAGGCTTTCTGGCAAAATTATGTAGCAAAATCTATATTCTCAAAATCAGTCCGGTAATGTAGTCTAACCCTGATAACTGAAAAGAGAGGTTTGTTTTAAATTACCCAAAGAAATACCCAAATTAGTTTTTCTTTTTCATTTGTTCTACACAGATTTTCCTCCTAAGCCACCTGCCTACTTTACATAAAGACATGCATTGGTAAATTCAACTCTACTCAATTTCTCTGAGGACTTAGTAGAAGAAGCTGTACTCAGTCTTTAACCTAAGAAATACACAAGGAAGAAAACAATTAAATGTTAAGTTATCTAAGCCTATCACACTGTACTCTAAGAAACACTTTCAATATTGAAAATTTTAATATTTAACATTGAAGAAAGAATGGTATGTGTATATATATGTTTCTTCAATGTTAAATATCACATTTTTCTGTTATTCAATGTTAAATATTAAT